AAATGGCCTACCTCGGGGCTGGGAAGGTAGCTCAGTGGTAGAGTGTTTGCCTTGCATGCATGAGACCCTGGGTTCAATTCCCCAGCACCACATACACAGAAAAAAGCCAGAAGTGGCACTGTGGCTCAAGTGGTAGAGAACTAGCCTTGAGCACAGAGAGGCTCAGGGACAGTGCCCAGGACCTGTGTTCAAGCTCCAGGACTGGCTCCCAAACAAACAAACAAAAGAAATGGCACACCTCTAAGCTTCTTGCCTCTTTTTGTTGTAGTTCTTTTGCCAGTCCTGGGGCTTGAACTCAGGGCCTGGGTGCTGACCCTGAGCTTCTTTTGCCCAAGGCTAACGCTCTACCCCTTGAGCCACAGCGCCACTTCTGGCTTTTTTTTTCTGTTGACATAGTCCTGAGGAATAGAACCCAGGGCTTCCTGCATGTTAGGCACCTATCCTACCACAAAGCCCCCTTCCCAGCCCCTCTCATCTTTCTTGTATCCTTTGTGACACACAGGAAAAAGCAGCTCAACAAAGGTCCGGTGGTGGGAATCTACAATGGCCACATCAACACCCAGATGCCCAGGCAGCCGAGAAAGTTCCCGAAAGGTCGGGCAGACAATGACTCCCACGTGTACGCCGTCATCGATGACTGCATGGTGTACGGGCATTTGCTACAGGAAGGATCGAATGGGTCCTTTCTCCGACCGGAGGTGGACACCTACCGTCCTTTCCAGGGCCCAATGGGGGACTGCCCCCCATCTCCACCTCCCATAGGCTCCAGGGCCCCAACTACAAAGTTGAGCAGCGATGAAGTTCCTCCTTGTACCCCTCCAGAGTCGGAGAGTGAACCTTATACCTTTTCACATCCTCATCCACATGAGGGAAGCCAAAGAGACACAGATATACCTTTGCTAGAGACCCAACAGCCTGAAAAACCAGCAGCAGAATAACTTCAGTATCCTTCTAGAGACTTCGCGGAGATAAACACTGAGGCAGCACCAAGAGATCCCCTTAACCAGAACCTCCTCCAAGAAAAGGGATTGAATAGGGGAAGAGGGAAGAAAGGATCCTGGATGCCACGAACTTCCAATTATCTAGTGGACTTGCTCTGGTCACGAAGCAGAAGTGATGGATTTTGGCTGGGGTTAGTGTCTGGCCATGAGGGTTCATGGCTGTGTGAATTCTAACCCTGGCTCATGTTGCGGAGTAGATGTGTTGACAGGAGAGAGATTTGCACGGGCTAGCACCGGGCAGCCCTAAGCCCTGGGTTCAGATCATTTGTCACCTTGAAGTGACAATTTGTGCATGTGTTTGTGTGTGCGCATGCATCCTGGGGCTTGAACTCGGGGCCCAGATACTGTCCCTGAGCTTTTTCGTTTTCTTTTTTTTTTTTGCACAAGGCTAGCATTCTACCACTTGAGCCACTGCGCCATTTCCGGTTTTCTGAGTGGCTTATTGGAGATAAGAATTGTCATGGACTTTCCTGCCCGGGCCGGCTTTGAACTGTGATCCTCAGATCTCAGCCTCCTGAGTAGCTAGGATGACAGGCGGGAGCCACCAGCATCTGTGTTCATTGGCTTAAATTTAAGCCAGTCCAGCTCAGCGTGATTCATCTCTGATGCTGTTGCCAGTGCTCAGAGGGGGACAGTCAACCGAGATCCTAAATCTATCAGTCCATCTTAGAGAATCGGTTCCTATGGATCACCAATACTTAGCTGGAAATAATTTATTGAATGTACATATTTTTAGCTAGCCTTTTGTTTGTTTCCTATGCTTTTTTAAATAAACAGATTTACAAATCAACTGTGGATTGGATTATTTGAATGCTCTTCTGGTTTGCTGTTCACTCGGTTTGCTGGTCTCGGTTCTATGGCCATTATTCTTTTTCTTCTTTATTATTTTTTTTTGTCAGCTGTGGGGCTTGAACTCAGGGCTGTCCTGAGTTTGTTTGTTTTTGCTCAAGGCGAGTACTCTACCACTTTGAGCCACAGCACCACTTGCAGATTTCTGGTGTTTCATTGAAGGTAAGAGTCACACCAGGACTTTTCTTGCTCAGGCTGACTTCGAACCCTGATCCTCAGATCTCAGCCTCCTGAGTAGCTAGGATGACTGGAGTGAGCCACCAGTGCCTGGCTTTCTCTGGCCATTTCTTATGACATGCTCCCCACGGGAGATGTTTGTTGCTGTATTATTCACCCTTTCCTTGGCTTATCCTACAGAAAGCTGCACTTGGACTCAAACTTCTCGATTCATTTGCTACCACCCAGTGTAGAAGCCAGTTTTTGTTTTGTTGTGTGTGGGCAGGGTGTGCTGGGACTTGAATTCATATTTTCATTTGGCGTGTGTGTGTGTGTGTGTGTGTGTGTGTGTGTGTGCGTGTGCGTGTGCTTGAACTCAGCCTAGATGCTGTTCTTGAGCCTTTTTTTTCTTTTCTTTTCTTGCTCAAGGCTAGCACCTTACTATTTCGGCCACAGCTCCACTTCTGGCTTTTTGGTGATTCATTGGAGATAAGAGTCTCATGGACTTTCCTGCCTAGGCTGGCTTTGAACTGTGATCCTCAGATCTGAGGCTCATGGTTCAAAGCCAGCCCAGTCAAGAAAGTCCAAAAGACTTATCTCCGACAAACCACAAAGAGCTAGAAGTGGAGTTGTGGCTCAAAGCGGTAGAATGCTATAATCTTGAATACAAAAGCTCAGAGACAGCGCTCAAGCCCTGAGTTCAAGCTCCGGGAATGGCAAAAAGAAAAAAAGGTGGGAGTTGGCCACAGATCTCAAATCTAAGTGGGGGCAAGCATTAGTGGCTGATAAAAGATGGGAATGATTTTTCTTTCCCATATCGCCACCTGCTGCCGGAAGCAGGTAATGCCTGTCTTCAGGCTGTCCAAGTGGCTGCTTTTCTACCCTTGCTCACATAAAGAGCCTTGGGTATTCTCAGGAGCGTAGCCATTCACACTTTTAGAATGTCCCCCACTCCTATCCCAGGCACCTCTGTCCTTCTAGAAGGCTGAGGGGGAGTTGGAAGGGTCCAGAACTGAGCTAGAAGACATGGATTTGAACGAGGAATTCTATGGATTGGCTTCCTGTGAGAATAGACCAGCATGAAGTATGCCCATGGCTTACAAACTGCCTGCCCCAGCCAATCAAACTGCTGTCAATGATACCTCACTAAAGCCAAGATACAATGAAAAGCAGCCAATGCCCGTGGCTCACACCTTGTCATCCTAGCTACTCAGGAGGCTGAGATCTGAGGATCCAAGTTCAAAGACAGCCCAGGCAGGAAAGTCTGTAAGATTCTTATTTCCAATTAACTACCCCAAAAAGAAAGCTGAAAGTGGAGCTGTGGCTCAAATGGTAGAGTACTAGCCTTGTCAGTCATGGGGCTTGAACTCTGGGCCTGAGCACTGTCCCTCAGCTCTTCAGCTCAAGGCTAGTTTTCTACCACTGGAGCCACAATGCCACTTCCGGTTTTCTAGTGGTTTATTGGAGATAAGAGTTTCACAGCTTTTCCTGCCTGGGCTGGCTTTGAACCATGATCCTCAGATCTCAGCCTCCTGAGTAGCCTGGATGACAGGCGTGAGCCACTGGCACCCAGCTCCTTGAGACTCTTATCTCCAGTGAACCACCAGAAAACCAGAAGTAGTGCTGTGGTTCAAAGTGGTAGAGCACTAGCCTTGAGCAAAAGAGCTCAGGAATCAAGCCCAGGCCCAAAGTTCAAGCCCCATGACCGATTAAAAACAATAAAGGTGGGCAACAGATTAAACTGGCAATTTGATTACCTCAGTGACAATGGGTGAGGATGAAGAGAGGAGACATACCACCCTGGCAGTACCAGTGACTGTCATATTTGGCTTCTAGATCAGCTGAGTGTGAAGAAGAAGGTAGACCGCCTAGCTCCCGGAGGCAAGAGCATAAAACCCCCACACCAGGCCCATGAACCTCAGAAATGAAACCCCCAGCAGGAGCAGAGTGGGTGCTCCCTCTCTTCTGGAAGTGGGGACAAGGGAGAGCACGAGATAAGCCTCCAGCAGATGAAAGAGAATTCTATAAAGAGAAGCTTGCAGCTTAGTCAGCCATATTGTTATCAATGTGAATTTCCTGACCCTTGATCAATGTACCGTGGGAGGAAAGGAACAGAGCCTTGTTTCCAGGAAACACACACACTTAAGTATTTAGGGGGCACAAGGCCATCACCACTGCACATCCCTTCAGCAAAGAAAAAGAGAAAACATGAGTTGCACCCTGGTGACTGGGATCCTAGCTATTTCAGGAGGTTGAGTTCTGACGATTGTGGTTCAAGGCCAGCCAGAGCAGGAAAGTCCTGCTGAGACATTCTTTTCTCCAATGAACCATTGAAAAGCCGGAAGCGATGGCTCAAGTGGCGGACGGAAGGCTAGCCTGGAGTGAATAAGGCTAAGCGACAGAGCCCTGGTCCTGAGTTCAAGCCCCAGGATGAACGCTCCCCTCTCCCCAACCCCCTTCTCAGATCCTTTTCCTGTCTGCAGGGCCAGATTACCTTCCTTCCTCCTCTTCCTCAGCATTCTGGAATCTTCTCCCTGCCTCTCCAAAACCCTGCACAGACTTCAGCCACTCTACAACAACTTTATTTGCAAACAAGGGGAATCCAAGGGATCCCAACATGATCATGAACAGCCCAGTCCTTACCCCCCCCCCCCCCCCCGCGGCCTCCCCATCCTCCCTGGGCCCTGGTCCTTCTTCCTCAGACTTCAGGACCCTCATCCCTCCTTGGGCCACTAGGCCTCCTCCGGCCTCAGGGATCCACTTCCTCCCACGGCCCCGCCCCTCAGGCCTCTGACCACGCCCCAGCCCCGAAAGCTCCGCCCCCAAAGGCTTCCCACAGATTCCCATCTCCTGAGGCCCCGCCCCTTCTCCCCACCGTGTCCCCGCCCCTCTTGCGGCCACGCCCCCTTCCGGGCACCTCCCACCCGCTTCCCCCTGCCCTCTCCGCCCAGTCGTTTTGAAAGTCCCGCCCCTCGGAGCTTCCCATTGGTCCCTCCTTCTCTGGTCCCCCCCCCCCCACCCCAAGCACCGGAACTACACGATGGCGAACTGACAGACGTAAGGCAGCTGGTCGCGGCAGCGCTTGTCGAACCATTTGCCGTTGGCGGCCCCGGCCAGGGCGGCGCAGTTCTCGGCCTTGCCGCCGTCGGGCTGCGCCGTGATCTCCGTCTCCCAGTTCTTGTAAGTGATGTGTCCTCCGGTCATGTCCACCCAGGCGCCTTCGTGCGCCATGTCGTTGAGGCCCAGCCAGACCTCGGCCTCGCCGCCCAGGCTCTGGCGCGCGTACTCGTACAGGGCGTCGTTCTCGGAGCCCGCCTGCGGGGCGGCCAGGGTGCCCCCGCGCGAGATGCAGTCCTCGCTCGCCTCGTGGAAGGTCTTGGCCTGGCTGAAGGCCAGAAAGCACTTCATGTGCACCTTGGTGCCCTTCAGGCAGACTGGGGTGGCGGGGGGGGGGGGGGGGGGGGTGCGGGCGGGGGAGAAATAGCCGTGATCGAAGGTTTCTCTACCAGCCACACCCTGATCAGGGGCAGGCCCACCCTCCTCACTCCCATTCTGCTTCATCCCTGGTAACAGACACCCCCACACACACACCCCAACTTCAGACAGGTGCTGACCCACCGTGGCTCCTCCCCCCCCCCCAGGATGAGCAGTCCCCTAACCACAAGGTCACATCCCTCATCCTATGCTACCTTGGGTCTGCCCAAAGATAGGTCAAGACCAAGGCTTGATTATCTATCCCGTCTACCTAACTATATGTTTTGTCTTGAGGTTTGAACTCAGAGCTCTGGTGGCTGTCCCTAAGATTTTTTTTTTTTTTTTAATCCCCTCTTAGGTTAGCACCCTACCACTTTGAACTACAAGACCACTTCCAGCTCTGGGGAATAATTGGATACAAGAGTGTCTTGGACTTTCCTGCCCAGGCTGGCTTTGAACCGCCATCCTCCTATCCCAGCCTCCTGAGGAGCCAGGATCGCAGGTGTGAGTCGCCAGCGCCCGGCTAGCAGATAGGTCTTAAAAGGGGGAAAATCAGGCTTATGTGCCCCTAAATTCTGGATTCTGGAGCTGCAGCTCCCTTTTGGTTGGTCATCTTTGATCCTGACCTTGGTCTTTTGGGGGACAGTGTCCCAACACACCACTTAGCTGTAACCAAGCCTGGGTTTTATGCACGGTCTGGGAATGGGGGAGACAGGCCCATAAACCTGGTGACCTGGCCTGACAGTTCTGGGCTTGTCACCAGCTGGAGGCCACAAGCCATGGATTGTCCCTGGTGGGTTCTTTGACCAGAAGTTTACAACACTCACCTGTCTGCAGAGCTTGTTGCTCCTTCAACAGCGCCACCTCCTGGGCAAGGCTGTCCAAGCGGCTCTTGAATTCCTCGAACATTTTTGGGCCCATAGCATCTAGGATGGAATCAGGCAGTGTTAGAGACAGAGACATTCATGTTGGAGAGTCCATGGAAGCCAGGGACTGTGCAGGAAGACTTTCCAAAGAACCCCAAAGGGGTACAGGGAAAGGGGTCCCCTTAATAATATCTCAATGTGCCTTTGCTAGTGTTACACTGATCCTAACTCCACTCCTGTGTGTTGGGGGGAAAGAGGGGGTTACTCCCTCACTCTTGTACTCATCAGGATTGTTGGAAAAGATGGGGGAGCTTCATGGAATTGGGGTACAGCCACCCCATCAGCTCCTAAATAAGAGCCCTGGAAAACAGGATCACAAGGCTGGGGGGGAGGGGGGAGGCATCATTTGAGACCCAGAGCAAGGGCCACTTCCCTACATTGGAAGGACAGGCCAGACCAGCAGGGCAAGGATTCCAGCCTGGGCTACGAGTGGCAGAATGTAGGTACTTGTGTATGTTTCCCAGGTCCCACAAATATGGGAAAATTGCTGGAGAAATTGCTCAACCCCCTTCTCTCATCTGTACCATGGGGTGTTACTATCTTTGCCCCCCAAAACAGCTAAGGGACAGTGCCAATGCCCTGACTTCAAGCTCCAGAGCTGGCACACACACACACACACACACAAGTTTTGGTTATTTGATTGGAACAGTGGCTCACTCCTGTAATCCCAGCTGCTCAAAAGTGGAGGTAGAAGACTGTTTTTCTCTCTTTTTTTTTCTTTTTGCTTATGTGGTGCTGAGGAATCGAACCCAGGGCCTCATGAATGCAAGGCAAGCGCTCTACCACTGAGCCACCTTCCCAGTTCCAAGACTGTTTTTCTCTATCAGTACTTTCATGAACTTCAGTTAGGCACAAGGGAGCCCCAGAAGCCCCTCTCCCTTCTTTTCCTGTGTTGTGATTTTGGCTCTGATACTCTGTCTTCTCTGCTTCATTCCCTGCTCTCAGGCCATTGAATTGTTCCCTCTACCTCTGAGCCCCAGGGGGTGACATCCTTGATCTGGGGATCGACGTTGAAAGCCAGCCCGAGCAGGAAAGTTCATGAGACTCTTCTCTCTAAGGAACCACCAGAAAATTGCAAGTGGAGCTGTGGCTCAGAGTGGTAGAATGCTAGATTTGAGCAGAAGAGCTTAAGGACAGTGCCCAGGCCTAGAGTTTAAGCCCTATCACTGACAAAATAAATAAAAGCCACACCTCTCTTACTAGCTACTCAGGAGGCTGAGATCTGAGGATCAAGGTTCAAAGCTAGCCTGAACAGGAAAAACTATGAGACTCATCTCCAAATAACAAACACACACAAAAAAATGGAAGTGGAGCTGTAGCTCAAAGTGGTAGAATGCTAGCCTTGAGTACAAAAGCTTTGGGACAGGGCCCAGGCCTTGAGTTCAAGTCCCACGACTACCACCAACCACCAGAAGATCATAGCAGGGAAAACTTAAGATTGCGATCACAAGGCACAAGGCCTTAGAGTGCCTCCTGTTGGCCTTTGAACATTTCCAGACCGTTAAGTCAAAGGATTGATACATTTTTCCGTCGCCCAGGCTTGAATGCTGCACTTTGTGCTTGCTAGGCAGGTGCTTAGCCACACTTCTTTAAGATATTAAAGAGTTTGGTAGTGGAGGGGTGGGGGGCAGATGTTAGTTTAGATGATCTGGAAGGTTCTTCCCAACTGGAAGTCAGTGATTCTGAACCATTCTGCCAAACACCCTTGCTATGAAGTACTTAAGATCCCACAGACAAAGCTGGTGGTTCATGCCTATAATTCTAGCTACTCTGGAGGCTGAGATCTGAGGATCATGGTTCAAAGCCAGCTTGGGTATAAAAAGACTGTGAGACTCTTTAATGAACCACCTAAAATCTGGAAGTGGTGCTGTGGCTGAAAGTGGTAGAACACTAGCCTTGAGCAAAAAGAACTCAGGGACAATGCCTAGGTCCTGAGCTCAAGCCCCACAACAGAAAATAAAAAAAATTCCACAGACAAGGAGCAGGAGGGCTGGGAAGGTGGCTTAGTGGTAGAACACTTGCCTTGCATGCAAGAAGCCCTGGGTTCGAGTCCTCAGTGCCACATCAACAGAAAAAGCCAGAAGTGGTGCTGTGGCTCAAGGGGGTAGAGTGCTAGCCTTGCACAAAAGAAGCTTAGAGACAGTGCTCAGGCCCTGAGTTCAAGCCCCATGACTGGCCAAAGAAAAAGGAACAGGATGAGGTTCTACAGGAAGATGGGGGAGAAGCCCCGAGCCCTGTCTTACCTTTCTTGGCACCAGCAGCCTTCTTGACCTTGGGAGTTGGTGACTCGGCAGTGACGGGAGTCAGGAGGTAGAAGAAGCAGAGGAGCAGATAGGCTCCCCAGAGCTCCATTCCGTGAAAAGTGGGGACTGTGGATTGCTCTGGAAAGCACTGGCAGCTGGGGCCCAGGCTGTATTTCTGAGAAGCAGCAGCCACCAGGACTCCTGTCCAGGGAAATCAAGGCTTAGCTGCAGGCTGAGTACAAAACCCTGTACAAAACCGAGAGGTGGAGCTCAGGGTCGTTCAGGGGCCTTGCTAGGCCTCTGCTTCCTGCCCAGGGCCCACACCCTTGGCACCTTCCTTCCCAGGGCACGGAGCCAGCCCAGGCCAGACTTTTTTGGCAGGCATGCCAAAAAGAAGTGGGGGGGGATAGAGGGTGAGGAAAGTTTGGGAGCCACAGAGCAAGAAACACCCACCCTGCCTACTAAAGGGAATCAGATGGTCAGAAGTCTTGAGGATTCTGGGAAATTCCAAATAGTCTCAGCCCACAGCTCATGTCTGTCAAGCAGATGGATGCATCGGGGAGGCCTCAAACCACATGGGCTAAGAAGGATCATCTCCCATTTGAAGGAAACTGAGGCTCAAGGAGGTGAGAAGCCTTGCTCAAGCTACCCAGACATTAAAAGACTGAGTGCTGGCCAGGCGCTGGAGGCTCACGCCTGTCATCCTAGCTACTCAGGAGGCTGAGATCTGAGAATCGAGGTTCAAAGCCAGCCCGGGCAGGAAAGTTCGTGAGACTCTTATCTCCAATGAACCACTCGAAAACCAGAAGTGGCTCTGTGGCTCACGTGGTAGAGCACTCACCTCAGAGTTCAAGCCCCACAACTGGAAAATAAAGAAAAAAGACAGAATGCTGGACGTCTCTCCCTGCCTGATCAGTTAGGCTACAAATGACTTGTTCATTACAAGAGAAGCCTCAGCTGGAATCTCAGGAGGCTGAGATCTGAGGATCATGGTTTGAAGCCAGCCTGGGCAGGAAAGTCTATGAGCTTCTTGTCCCCAAGGAGTCACCAGAAAGCTGGAGATAGAGCTGAGGCTTAAGTGGTAGAGCACCACCAGCCTTGTGCAATAAAAGCTAAGGGTTCAGGCTCTGAGTTCGAACCCCAGGACTGGCACCAAAAAAAAAAAAGGGGGTGGGGGAGAAAATACCAGACCATACCATGGTGTCAGCTTTCCCCCGCCTTCTCGAAATCTGCAAGCCTAGTTCTTCAGGCTCAGGGAGGGGCCTGTTGTGCAGCCCCAGGGGAAGGATCTGGCCTGGCTGGCCCTGTGCACTGGGAAGGAAGGTGCCAAGGGTGTGGGCCCTGAGCAGGAAGCAGAGGCCTAGCAAGGCCCCTGAACGACCCTGAACTCCACCTTCAGAGTGGGGGACAGCTTTGTGTTCACAGCTGGGTCTTCTGAGACAATGTGGGGCCTGACAATTACATAACCTAATGAAGAGTGGCTTCCTGGAACTCTGGGTGGGTAAGGCAAATGAAAAATGAATGTTCTTCTTGCTGGGTGTAGTTCGCACAGTAATCCCAGCTGTGTAGGAGGCAGAGTTTTAGGAGGTTTGGGGTTGGAGGCCAGCCCACCCCCTCCCTTCATTGCAAATGTTTGCAAGACCCCACCTCAATAAGCCAGGTAGAGTGTTCCACACCTGTAACCTAAGCTACAGATAGGAGGATCATATTCCAGGACCACCTGAACACAAACAAGATGATTCCCCCTCCCCATCTGAAAAATAAACAGTAAGGACTGGAGTGTAGTTCAAGTGGTAGAGAGCCTGCCTAGCAAGTGTGAGGCCTGTCGATCCCCAGTTTTCTCTGGCTGGTTGCATTCCAGTATTGCAGTCAACTATAGTCAACCTCCACAGACCTGGTGACAAGCTGTGATGTCACTGTGTGTGTGTATGTGTGTGTTTATCCTGGGGCTCGAACTCAGAACCTCGGTGCTGTCCCTGAACTTTTGTGCTTAAGGATGGTGCTCTACCACTTGAGCCACAGCTCCAATTCTGGAATCTTTTGAGGAAACACCACTAATTGCAGATAAGAGTCTCCCAGACTTCCCTGCCCCAGCTGACTCCAACTTTGATCCTCCGTTCTCAGCCTCCTGAGTAGGTGGGATTGTAGGTGTGAGCCACCAGTGTCCTTCCATCTTTCTGGTTCTAGGTTTCCCACTGGCACTATCCTAGTGGCCTTCACCAGCCACAGCAGCTGGCAAGGGTAATTCTAGCCAGGAGAGTAGATTATTTCCAGGAAATGTCTGTAGCTAACACCTACCCACCAGGGTATCATTACAATTCCCTGGGCCCAAAGAATGATCCTAACAAAGCCTTTAGAGGCAGAACAATTAAAGGAAGAAGGCTCAAAAGACTCAATGTAATTTCTGTGTGTGTGTGTGTGTGTACGTATGTGTGCGTGCCAGTCAAAGAGCTCAAACTGAGGCCAGGTGCTGACCCTGTCCCTGAGCTTTTTTGCTCAAGGCTGGCACTCTACCACTTTGAGCTACAGCACCACTCCTGGATTTGTGTGTGCAAGCTCAATTGGAAATAAGTCTTTTGGACTTTCCTGCTCAGCTGGGCTTTGAATTACAATCCTTAGATCTCAGCCTCCTAAGTAGCTACAATCCCAGGCATGAGGCACCAGCACCTGCTGATGTTGCTTTCTTGAAATGTTTATATAAAGGACACAAAAGACAATGATGTTGAGCACTGGTAGCTAACGCCTATAATCCCAGCTACTCAGGAGGTTGAGATGAGGATTGTGGTTCAAAGCCAGCCCAGGCAGGTAAGTCCATGAGGCTCTTATCTCCAGTGAACCACCAGAAAACCAGAAGTGGAGCTGTAGGTCAAAGTGGTAGAGCATTAGCCTTGAGTAAAAAGCAGCTCAGGGACAGTGCTCAGGCCCTGAGTTCAAGCTCCAGGACCAGCATACATGCATGCAAGCGTGCATGCATGTGCAGATGCGCATGTGTGAGCGCACGCGCGCGCGCGCGCGCGCGCACACACACACACACACACACACACAGCAAGCAAGCAAGCAAGCAAAATACAGCTGAGCCATTTCACACACATCTCAAAATGACCAACCACTGAAATCAAGCCTTAAAAACAAAGGCTTGGGCTGGGAAGGTGGCTCAGTGGTACAGTGCTTGCCTAGCATGCATGAAGCCCGGGGTTCGATTCCTTAGTACCACATAAACAGAAAACCCAGAGGTGGCACTGTGGCTCAAGTGGTAGAGTGCTAGCCTTGAGCAAAAGCTCAGGGACAGTGCCCAGGCCCTGAGTTCAAGACCCAGGACTGGCAAAAATAAAACAAAAACCAAAGGCTTCTAAGTTTTATTCAGTCTGGGGCTCCTCTTCAGAGACAGGACAGGCATGTCGTGCTAGAGACACTCACACCAGGCCCTGCAGATGTGGCCTGTGGAGTCTTTTGCTTGCAGTGTGTTCTATTAGATGCTAAATTCCTGTCTGAGTAACTGCAGCATGAAGATGCCCTGGCTGAAGCTCTCCATCATGAATCAGTTTCTTCCCCAGGGCCCTTGAAGTGTGAGGCCCTATCCACAGAGACTGAATTCTGCACAGTGAGCAGAGCAGCCGACCTCCTGTCCCAAGAGTATGAAAGCTGCGGACAATGGATGACGGCTTCTCTCAAGCAGCTAAAGCTAATCATGTTGATAGAACACGCAGGCTTATGTAACGCCAGGGAGTGGTCGTAGCACACAAGCAATTTCACAAGAGTGATAAGAGAGGTTGGCGAAGGACCAACATGGCTGCGAGGGCCCTGGCCCAGGAGAGCTCCATGTGGCTCTCTTCACGCAGGATGGGGGAAGGCTGGCCAGCGAGGGAGAATATACAAGGTCCAATGAACAGTTCTAATTTTTGGTTGCTGCTCCTGGGGCTTGAACTCAGAGCCTGGACTTTTGTGCTCAAGGCTAGCATTCTGCTGCTTGAGCCACAGGTCCATTTCCATTTCCTTTCCTTTTTTTTTTGTTGGTCAGTTGCAGGGCTTGAACTCAGGGCCTGGGCACTGTCTCTGAACTCTTATGCTCAAGGATAGTGCTCTACCACTTTGAGCCACAGCACCACTTCCAGTTTTTAGTGATTAATGGTAGATAAGAGCCTCACAGACTTTCCTGACTGGGCTGCCTTAGAACCTTGGTCCTCAGATCTCAGCCTCAGGAGAAGCTGGGATCTCCTAATCATTAATGCAGTGCTTGCTTGCTGCAAGTGTTTCGGACTCTGGACTATGGAAGCCCATGGTCCCCTCTTCTCCCTTGCTGAGTCCCAAACCAAACAGCACCAGGACAGCCGAAGGACTCCAGTCAGACCAGACCAGACCAGAAAATAAATTTCATTTTACATGTATAAATGCTGTCTGCAGGTACAACAATGAAGAAAAAAACTTATATATACAAACTTCAGTTTCAGTAAGAGAGTAAACCATAAAGTCGAGGGTTGAAGGGGCGATAGGCCAGTCACCCGAGGAACCCCACTTTTTGCCTCTTGGGTCCCAGACTTTCTTCCTTGTGTAGAATACTCTGCAGAGCTGCGTGCAGTACCTTGCCTACACGCTTGCCGGTCTGCGGGATGGGACGGGAATGGAGAGAGGAAACGGCTGATTTAATTGTGAGGTGCGCACATTCTGACAGGGCAAGCTCCCCTTCCTGCCAGCCAGCCTGCCACTCCCAATACCAGATGCATCCCAGCTTTCAAATTTTTTTTTTTTTTTTTTAAATTCCCCTCCCCTCCCTTCTTTGGAGGTGCTTATGCTGAGGTTTGAGTGCAGGGTCCGGGCACTGTTCCACTTGAGTCATAGCTCCATTTCTGACTTTTGTTTTCTTTGGAGCTAAGACTTTCCTGCCCAGGCTGGCTTTGAACCACAAACCTCAGATCTCAGCCTCCCGAGGATGACAGGCACAAGCTACTGAACCTGGCTCTTTTTCTGGTTCTATTGGTGTGATACTAGAGCTTGAACTCAGGGCCCGAGTGGTGAACCCTAGCTTTTTCTCTCAAGGTTGGCACCCTACCACAAGAGCCATAGCTCCTCTGCTGGTTTTCTGGTGGTTCATTGGAGGTAAGAGTCTCATGGACTTTCCTGCCTGGGCTGGCTTTGAACCGTGACCCTCAGGTCTCAGCCTCCTGAGCAGCTAGGATGACAGGCGCGAGCCGCCAGCACCCGGCATAGCTAGTCCCCTGGACCTATCCAGTGGTCCTAGAGCTACTCCACAAT